GCATGATAATTTTTGCCAGAGTAACAATTGTCTGTGCCGCTTCGCGGCACAGCCAATTGTTACTCCGGCAAAAAATTGCCACCGTACCAACATACAAATTATCATACTATATTATATAAATATCATATTTGACTAGTAACGATCTGGTATACCGATAACACCGAATTTTGAACAGCGTAGTAATGCTATGATGTTGCGTTTGTCTAAAGTTTTATTGATTTACTGGTAATATAGTTATCATTACCCAAAGCTATTTTCCTGAAAGGACAATGCCGACTAAATCGATCAGTGTTGAACTAATACCTGCTAACTTTGTCGGGCTATTTCCTTTTGGGAAAATGGCATTCGAGAACTTGGAAATAATGAAAAAAATTAACGCTAGCATAATTGTTGTGAATCGCTAGTTCTTCTGCAATTAAATAAATAGGCATCCAGGAAAGCATAATACACGTAATCAACAGAAATTCAAAGATTTTAAAAAATGTAACATTTTAAAAAATATTATTTTAAGAAACTACTGTATATTAATAAAAAGCAGTATATAAAAAATTCTAATATTTTGTTATATAAACGGACAATGATAATTTGATTTGTTGTTTAATGCCTTATCACAGCGTACAAACAATATATTCAATAATGAAATTCCTATTCAGAAAATTAAAAATTAATAATAGCTTGGAATTCATTTTGAGTTTGAAAAAAGACTGCTATTAATGCCTTATGCAAAATCTATTTACAAGGCTGACGATATAACTCATGAACGCACACTATTCAGGGTGTCTTTTGATGAAATGGAGAAATAGGTTTTTTTTTGTTTTTTTTGACGCATATTTTTTCACATCTGTGCAAATAATCCATTATTTTCCGCAATGGTTTATGTTATAATGCAAAATATCTTTCAAAAAGAAATGATAAACCATAAAAAATTGAGTTGCGTTTGGTACGATCGTTTGTTTAGAAATGATATGTAAAAAAATTTTGATCTAAATAATATACAATTATTAACGACATGTACAATCAGATTAAAAAACTTAATAGATTAGTAAAATTTAATTCCCAATAGAACAATGGAGCAATTGACTGGAGTAGGTAAAGTTTCCGGAGCACCAATGCCATTTTACTCGATATTAAGATATCCCATGTAACTTTTCTAATAGTTTTTTAGCCTGTCCATAGACAAAAAATGTCGTGGCACTAACTGGTGCAGCTTTTAGCAACGCGGGAGTCAGCCCTTTGTAAAGTCCAAAAAATCCATCATTGGCAATTATTTGCCGTATAGAAGAATATATAGAGCTAGAATACGCAGGAATATTCCTAATCACATACTTTGATCGACTAGGACCTTGAAGTTGCAATCGTCGTCTTAGCAAATCAAGTGGAAATATTCCAGTTTTACCAATCATTCCAGCTAATGCACCACTAAAGAAATCTTCAGTGCCTCTTAACTTACTAGACCATAAATTCTTTTCCTGTTGAAAAATGAATTTAAAAAAATAATAATATAATACAATATAAAATCTTAAGTGCTACTCTACGAATAATAAACACAAACATCATAATAAAAGTTAATGAAAAGTTAATATAAATTTATATAATAATATGTAATCTACAGTTGCTACAAAGTCAAGTCATTTTTTTTTTACTAAGTA